TATATATATATATATATATATATACTGCAATTAAAATGCTTATGAAGCTCAATCAGTTTACTTCTGATATGAATTGACTCTTCAGAAGTTCGTTTAGCACAGTATAGAAGCACAAGTAGTACACATCTGCATTATCCTGTTGCCAATTCATTGTATACAGAAGTAATTGCCAAACCAGGCTAGCACATTAACTTCTTGCTGTCTGAACCGATCCATAAATTGCTCTGCCGAAGAGGTATAAAGAAGCCTCAAACCTACAGCATTTTGTCTTTCTGAGAAGCAATCTAAATGATAAGAATTGCAGTGCTGGGTGGAGGCTTTTTTGGATCCTGTGCCAAAAGCTGGCACTGCTGCTTGGTACAGGAGTTGGATACAGTCCATGGTGAATCCATGCATGTAGTTAATGATGGAGTTTAATCAGCAGTGGAGTCAATTGGATGGAGGAAGAAGGTGAGTGCCAGTTCATATGCCAACCATGAACAAGTTGTAGTGGTGCAATGGAGAAAGCAGGCAAATGGCTGAGAAGCCTTCTTACAGGCAAGAAGGAGAAGGACAAGGAGAGAAATGGCGGCAAGCCGACCACATCGTTGACAGTGGCAGTCCTAAAGGGTAAGAGAAGATGGAGTTCCGCAGGCCCACAGCTACATCCAAAGACTCGCAATCTCCGGAGGTCGACAAGAGACTGCACGCCATGGTGATGAAGATTGAGGATAATGCAGCGATGAAGATCCAGGCTGCTTTCCGGTCTTACCTGGTGTGATCTCAACTCCAATAGTTTCACCCTCCCATGATACTGAGCGACTGTAATTGATCTTGTGCAGGCAAGGAAAGCTCTCTGTGCTTTGAAGGGTCTGGTGAAGCTGCAGGCCATGGTGAGAGGGCAAATGGTGAGGCAGCAGGCGGCCACCACTCTCCGTTGCATGCAGGCGTTGATCACAGCTCAAGCCGGAGTCCGAACACAAAGAACTCGGATGCTCGAGGAAGCCCAGGGCACCTCGCAGAGCGCGAAGGCGGTGGAGATGGATCTTGGAGAAGGATGCAGCAGTTGGAGGAGCAGGCGCAGCTGCTCGGCCTTTGCATGTGTTCGTGCTCGTGGATCACTCACGGACGTGAGCCCGAGAACTTGCAGCGGCCGCTTCGAGGAGTTCTCCTTCACGACGGCAGGGAGCAGCCCTCGGTGGACGTCGGCCTGCTCCATGCATCATACGCCGATGTCTTCCTTCGGCGCTTCAAGTGACTGCGCCTTCCCGAACTACATGGCCAACACGGAGTCGTCGAGGGCGAAGGCTCGGTGGCAGAGCGCACCGAAGCAGCGGGCGGATATGGTTGAGATGAAGGCGAGCAGGAAGCGAGCGTCCGTGGAAGGGAGAAAGACGGCGAGGAGTGCTCGCATTCTGCGACCTGCGACCTGATCCTATCACTGTCCATGGCGGATCAAGATTGATAGATCCGACATCTGCCGCCCGTACACAATTAGCAAGTGAAGGCCATGTTGTCTCTCTCAGGAAGCAAATTTGGGAAAGCATCCAACTGATGCATAAGCATTAATAATTGAATATGGAAGTACAAATCATGAAAATACTATAGTGTAAATGGACCCAAAAAAAAAATCTATTTTTTTGAATTTTTGCCAGAGATGACCTATTTTTTTCTAAAAAAAAAATAGTATGAATTCTTGATCTCTCTCAATATCTTATCTTCCAATAAAAATAAAGACGGTGTTACACAAATAAACTAAAAACCTAATAAAAATTAAATCATATAAAAAATAAAATTTCAAATAAGGCATGATTAGGAATAACAATATAAGAAAAATGTTATACCAATTATAGGATTTTTAAATAGATTTACAATATAAAAAAACTTCCAGTGTCTATTAAAAATACTTTAACTGAGAGTTTAATGATTCTATTCAAAAATATTTTAACTGAAGAATCAGAGCAGTTCAACTCTATAGACTGATCCATATGGCATGATCAAGTGAGTACTATTCTAATTGTCTTGTCATAAGATATTTAAGAAATTATAGTCAACAGAGGACGTCCTTTAAAAAATCTGAAAAAAAAATATAACATGTCTAAGAAAAAGCTCAAAAGATTTTTTTTCAAGAATTCCTACAAAATTATACATGTATAAGCCATAAACATCTCAAACAAACAAACAAAGACTTTCTTAAAAATGCTTGGCAAACAAAATTGCCAAATAGCATCTACAAAAAGCTCAAGTTCCTCTCATGGTGCTCACACACCCAAACTATGATAAAGCTTGTGATACACAGGCCACATAAATAAACATGGTGGAAGACAAGACCACAGGGATCAGAATCAGATTTAAAGGTGAATATTTTTGTCTGACATCTCAAATGGACTCTTTGAAAAGACGAGGAAGCACTTCGTGTGCACTGATATCCAATGCCTCTGGGTTCCTGAAACAAGATGGCCAACGTTTGTGAGACCCTAACTTGATTCAAAATACTCTGATAAATAAATGAGTACATATCAAAAACTTTAAACTTAGTAAAATCACGCTATCAAGGATTGGTGTTGCATATGTGAATAGAAATAGCTTCCGATATATTCTAGAAGGTTGCAATACAATTGGAGCGTAAATGTGCAATCTGCAATCACCATGCCTTTTTTATATTGCTACTCACCCAAAAAACGAATTTGTTTTTAATTAATCAAAGGCATGTCAAGAAGATATAAGCACAGAAACAAGTGGAATGGTTTCAGAAATGACACTGTTTATAACACTTACAGTAAGGAAATGAGTATACAACTTAGTCATAGTGGTATTTCAGTAGGAGCAAATATCAAGCTTACTAGAAGTTAGTTTCCTGCCAACAAAAGCTATACAAAACAAATATTGACTTTTAAAAGTTAAAACCAACAAAACAGCATGCACATTGTCATCCAGAATGTGATACATGTTTTGCTATACCTCACCAAGAAACCAAGGGAGCTAGGAATAGAAATCGAATTACCTGCACAAAATCCGGCCTTTCTCCGTGGAGCTAGGAATGAACCATAATTTACGCAATAAAGGTGACTCAAATTGCACAAAGAAGCCATTGCTCTGGCCAAGCTTCCACTTTCTTGAACCTTGCCCTTTCCACACCTACAAGATATTTGCATGACTGTGAGATCCATAACAGTCAAACTGTTCTTGCACATCCACTATTATAGTACCATCTACGAGCTACAAAAGTACTTTGAATTCCTACAACACTTTTAACATATATAGTGTGCTTTCCTAGAACGACCCATATCAGAAGGGGAAAACAAAGAACAGTTTACTTCTGTAATAAAATGGCATTATCAAAATACCAACATCAAGACAACAAGAAAAAACTTAAATATACTCAGATGAATCAAAGGACTAGGCAAATAAACATAAAATGTAATCTATAGCTTACCTGTGGATAGGCCATAATGCTCTTTGGTGCAACCAAGCAAGCAGCACTGGAAAATGAGTCCTCTGCATACTGCCTTAAAAATGAGAAACAGTTGCTGTGTGTATGGGGAGATTCAAATGCCTGGCATAGGAAAATAAATCAGAAAGATCAACATCATGAAATATGAGCTCGTATTTGATCGAATGTAGAGTACACAAATACTATATTAACCAGGCTGTTCTCGATTACCTTGTCTATATTGACAACTGGAGCATACTTATCAGTCTGAGTCTTCTGCTTATCAAGAAGGAAATTCACCCTAGGATCAACCTGACCAGTCTCATGCCATGCTTTTATAGCTGAATCCATTACATCAGCGAGGAAAGAAAAGATATCTTGCCATACTTCCTCAGTTCCAAATTTTGAAGACTACAAGCAGTCATGCCAGTTTAATTTTAGTATCAACAAGAGAGGAGCAGGATCATCCAAAATTTCACCCACTAATTGTTAAAGAGGAAAAAGGATGTCTAATAGAAAAAATCAGATTAAAGAGAGAGATAAAAAAAAGGACATAAGTATACATGGGTGCCTACTTAGAAAACTTTAGACCATTCCTTGACCCTCTAAGTAATCACATGGTGAAAAGATATCCACATCATTTTAGTTACAACCTCACCCTGTATGCATATCACTTCTAATTGTCAATTAAATGGTTATTGGTATGACATGTAACTGAACGACCCTCTTTCAGAGAATTTCCTCAATGGCTAATCTAACAAGCCTCTAAATTAAGCTAAAAGCCAAATCAGTTCCTAGACAACCCATTCAACAACTAAAGTTACAAAAGAACAAACTCCTAAATCATCCATCATAACTGTTTGAAGTGCAAAGAGTGTTAGGTACAGACCTTAAAAGGAAAAAAATGTACCCAGTGGCGCATAAGGCTCCCGTCAATGTTAGGTACAAACCTACAGACTAATATTGCTACTTCTAACCTCAAGCAGGGAATAAATCAGTAAATGATATACAGAAAAAGAATTAATTAAGTTAATATGACAAACATTTTCTTTGAGGCTTCAACAAGTAACAATATGACTTTAAATTACAAATCAACCAGTACAGAAGCTTCCACTTCAGGCAGAGCAAAAATTTACATCCTGAATTTATTGATAGAGACAACTCTCAAGTTGCAAATAGAGTGCAATAAATAAAACTTAGTTGAAAATACCCATATCTAATATGCCTTCACCATTATTGGTTGGTCAAATAAAGTAAGATAAGTCTAAGTATCATGAACTCACAAATTCAGGTTTCAAGGGATCCAAAAAATTTCTCATGTCAAAGCTAGAACGGATATTTTCTACTTCCAGAGCTCGCTTCTTTTCTCTGGCTAATTGTGTGATTCTCTTTATTTTCTTTGATACCTCAGAGCTCTGTGGATTGTATTGCAAAGCCACTTGGAATGCAGATATTGCCTGCAAGATGCAAAATAGTGGATATCAATACAGAAGGATAATGTTTCAGATCAGTGGCAGCAGAAAGTAAGATCAAAGGAAATGCCTAAGAGTGCTTTGTGCATACTCGACTAATTGGCAAAGGAGGTATTCAAGCCGGTTATCTAATTTATGAACAAACTTGTGTGTAATGATACATAATATATACCAACAAGTTTTCCTAAAATATATCTACTGCTGCAGATAATTGGTCCAGCAAGTTGCAACAACCAAAGGATAGCAAATCATCTGCTCAGCTTAAAAGCAAGGCAAAAGCTTCAATGACATATTCAAGACTGCTTTGTTCATATCTTGATGTGTCCTATCAATTATGAAAATACTTTTTTTAAGTTTATTGTACTTACATCATCATAGCGTTCCATTGCTTCCAAAATGCATCCTTTCCTGAAATAACCCTAAAAGGGGATCAAATGACAGTTAACTTTACCTACAAACAGAGAGATATTCTACAAGTGAACAATCAACGTAGATGAACAACCTTCTCCCACTGGGGGTTTAGAGAAATCGTTGTCTCAGCATCAGAAAGTGCTTTATTGAGTTTAACCAAATGGAGAAATGCAGCAGCACGGTTACTGCATGATAACAATATCAGGTGTAAAAGAAATAGAAACACTAAATTGTAGATAACACAAAAAATTAAATAAACTAAATCAAAATATTGCCTTGTTAGGATCCTAATTAAGGATTAGTAACATCTGATAGAAGTATGTTAATATTCTATAGGACTCTATAATGAACAATTTATCATTTTTAATGCCCCTTGCATTTGAAAAGATACACTTCACATTATCAATCCAACAATAACAAATGATTAATTTATCCTGTTATGGTTGCTGCATCGATTGCCTATAATTGTTCAATGTTGTTGCCAAATGCAGGAACCAATATCAATAGTCTAAAGAAGCAGCATCCCATAGTAACTCTGTTGCATTTCAATTTAATCAGCCTTGCCCAGTCAAAGCAGCCAGCAACCAGATAGCAGCATTTCAAATTATTTTTGGAGATAATCAGAATTCTAGAAATAGCAAACGGAGAATACTTCGTTTAACCTGTACCTAGACTGAGCAACTTGAAATCCTTCATCTGCATATAGCCCAAGTTGAACCATTGATTTAAGCCATGATAACGCAATTGTACGTTATATAATTTGCATTATCATAAAAAGAACAAACAAGTGTCAACAAGGGATTCTCGTAATTTAATGAGAAGAAAAGAACTCTCAAGCTATCAAATAGAGAACTATATATCAACTATTTTTTTTATTACATGAAGAAAAGAAATAACATCCTAGTATGAATTATTGGTTTTAAAATCCATTCAAGAGATGTCTAAAATTCTCAAAATATGAATCCTAATAATGGAATAATATGCCAAATCCAAAATATACACATATTGGGATTCATCAGCCCAGTAAAATCCACTAAAGATACACTTAAAAGTTTTTAGGCATCATTTGTAAGCAATCACAAAATATTAGAGGAATAAAAAAATTTTATCATATTACTATTTCGTGTTGGTGAAAATACTTGGTTAGCCATGTCATTTCCTAATCGAACAACAGAGCCATGTGAAAGGGTTTCTCAATTTCTAGTGCTGAGAAGTTTGAGAGCACCATAAACAAATGGTTGTACAGAACTCTTCAAGAATATAATATTCAATTGCTGGTGAATGAGTAGATAAATGTCGAAGCACAATGTTGACAAGCCAATCCATGGGAATGAAATTAGCCAAGCACATTGAAGTCCCAAACCAACCAGTCATAACTAGTTTGATCTAGAACTTTTACAGTGGCTTTCTTGCATTCACTTTGATCCTACTTGCATTAAGTACAAATTGTGCTTTTCCACAGGTCGCATGCTCTCCCAGGTATCCTCAAAGCATCTTGAGAACAATATAGACTCTTTTTTCTTTTTCTTGGACAATGCTGACAGCACTTCCTAAACCCCAGCAAACAGCCTAGCATCACCCAGCTGACAAATATTTCTCTACAGTTGCATCGATCCAGTACAGCCAACAACATCAAATACTAGAGAGGATTTAACGGCCTTCCAGTTTTACCCACAAGAATATGTACCTAAAAAGCTACCAGGAATTGGCAAAAAAAAGGATTAGGCCTTTCTGCGTGTCCGCTGCCAATGTCCAAATTTTAGTCTACCGTCCAATCTAACAAAGCTTCGCCGCTATAGAAAGAGAACAATATTCACACAAAAAGAGCCATCTTTGCTAAATGTATCACATCCAGAATCTAGAAAGTTAAACTCTTCCAAGATTTCTTCTTTCTCATCGTACATCATTAAAAAAAACAAAACATCCACAAAGACCCAAACAACGAAAGATTCGATGTCGAACCTGTAAAGGGTGGGATTGCTGGGTTCCAGCTTGATGGCTTGTGTGTAGAGCGCAGCGGCCTTCAGGTAGTTCCCGGCTTTGAAGAACTCGTTCCCCTGGTCCTTCAAAGTGGCTCCCCCTCCCGACGACGGACCGCCACCGGCTTCGGCCATCGGTCTCCTTCGAGCTACTTAGGGTTAGGGTTCCAGTCTCGCGCTGCTTTCGACTCTCTGCTCGAAACACCGATGGCCCAAATCAAAGCAAATAATGAAGAGAGATGCTTTCGATCACCAGCAACGATTATTCATTCCCCGCAAAGCTACCTTCATTTCTACTGAAAGAAAAAGCGGGTCCTCTTGTGGAGCCCGCTGTGCTTACAAGGCTACCGATACTATTTTCTAAGCGTTGTTGAGAACAACGACTGAATCGACCAGAAAGTCTGCGGGGGTGATGTGTTTTAATCGACCGCACCATAATGTGTGGATCCAACACGTTAAGTGCGACGAACCACGTCACCAATGAACTTATTACGGTCGATTCGATCGAACTCGTTTACGTTCTACATAGTGTTGTAGACCCAACCACAAAATCACGTCATCTCATCAAACAATAAGATGATAAAAATATTTCTACAACATAATGCTAAGTTTAAATAAGGCAATTAACTTAGTACATTTTTCGCATAACTTTCTCTAAACTAGTGGATCGTTTGATTCATGTCGAAGCTCTTAAAGCATCCATGTTAGGTTTTAGACATCATATGATTCATATTAGTTCCAAGTTTGATGTGATAGAGTATTAAGCTAAATTATGGACCATGATTTCAGGATTTGGATGATGAATGTAATTATAGATAAGACTAAATGTAATAATCATCATTTTATATTTTTCCTAAAAGATGCCTCACGTTTTTATTTATTTTCATCTGTACTCTTATTTTCTCTTATATTTGAAATTATTGTATCCAACCATAAAGTGAATCAATCTAAAAACATTTTAATTAATATAAATTTTAAGTTTTTTATATTTTTTATTTTTATTTTAATAATAATACATATTTTAAACCTAGTAATTATAATAAATCGATTTATATGATATTTTAGATTGTCGTTTCCCATCACAATATCTTTATACATGTGGCAAAAAATTATAATCTGATTTAAAAAACACTATAATCGACATAAAAGTGTAATTTTTATCATTCTTTTTATCAAATAAATAAAAATTCTTATTTAAAACTCCACAAAAGATGATAAATTAGTTTATATAATATTCAAAAATTTTTGTTCTTAGTTATAATATTTTTTAATATACTAAAAATACTTATAGATCGATCTAATGTAAAGACGAGAAGTTGCTCTTGAGATGTCCTCCTATCAACACTTTTTTTGGGAACAGGAGAAAAACCCAAATCAGTGACTTTCCCAATAATTTGTCCAATGATTATATTAATATTAAATCATACTTAGAATTAGTTATAATTTTAAAAACTTGTGGGAGGTATATTTCCACGTGTATATTATAAGTTTTTGGTTTAGGATGTATTAACTAATTCAAAAAAAAATCTAATTATAAAATTAACTGAACATATAATTTATCTCGAGTCCTTTTTTACCTCTGAATAGACTCCAATATCAATGCATATAACCAATTTAACCAATGAAAGTTCACTCGATTAAAAAGTTTAACTTTTAGTCGAATGATTTTAATAAATTATGTTTTTTTTATTTTATATTATAACACTAATTTTTTATATAAAGTCAATCACAATCAGCTTCTTTTTTTTTTCCTGTGATTCGAGTTTTTCTTCAATCAATATTTAAATAAATTTAAAGTGGATTTGCTCGATTAAGACCAAAAGATTCACAACTATCTAAATATAAATAAATAATTATAATACAAAAATATTCTTTTAATCTCATAATATTTCATGGTCAGAATTTGAATTATTGTAGCACATAAGACATTTTTTATCTATTTAGATTTAGTGTATGAAGGTTCAAGGACAACTATTGACACTCCACACTTGGAAGCCAGTACATGTGATTGAGAGAAATGCCTTCCCTGTCCGCCTCTCACTTGCCACCAAAACCCTTCTCTCTTTCTTATCTCTCTCAACCTTGAACCCTCGTGACCATGACAAAAACTTTCGGCAAGTCCGACGTCAACATCATCCGCTACGTCTCCTCCCTTGTCGGCTTCCATAGTATCTCCAAGTAGAGGTCTCTTTTATCTGATCTTTCTTTATCTTATTCATCGTATTAGGTATTCTAATTTATGACCTATTTAATTATATAAGATATATTATATATTTAATAAATTCTAATTATAATTATTTTTTCAGTCAATAAAAAGAAAGTTCAGTTATAATAAAATTTCTTACGAGATAATTTTAATGGGAGGGACATTTATAATTACTTATTTTAGGTCATCTATTATCATTTATAAAAAGATAGAACATCATATTCAAAATATAATGTAATGTTAAGTTATACATTAAAAGAGTACAAATTCTTTCTCATCTTCTTTTAAATTATATTTTAATTCAATCACTTTAAGTGGTTACGTGAAAGAAGACAATGCAAGTATACTTATCGTTGTAAATCGATATCACTATTTCTTTTAAATTTGATGATGACATGTTTGCATATTAAATAAAGATTTTATGATGTCGAAAGGTATATAATCATAATCTTTTGATCTATTGTTATTTGATTTCAGTTTATAGTATTAAAGTTTTCCTATATAACAACATAATTATAATTCTTATGCTAGCAAATTAGTATCAGTATCATGCTTTAAAATCAAATACCTTATCACAATATCCATAATTTGATAATAATAAATTATGTCATAAAATTTGATAAATATTTTTATTATACATAAATGGAAAAATAAATTATAGATATTTTATTTTTATCCATGTGATATAATGTATTGTTGTTAAATTTAACTACTTGTGTTATTTAAAAATAATAATTATTGTTTTGGATATTGAAATAATTATTAAATATATAAGAACGAAAGAAAATTATGAAATGATATTTATTTTTTATAAGAAGGAATGATTTATTTTTATCATGATTATAATTATCATATATTTTTGAACTATTTTAACATAAATTAGATTAAAAAAATTTAATAATTATTATGATTATTATTGAACTATTTTAACATAAATTAGATTAAAAAATTTGGTAGATATTATTTATAATTTATATCCCTATGTTTTATCTAACTAATAGTTGCCAAAGTGGCATGAGATGATAAGCTTATGGGATATAAATTATAATAAATATTTTTTATAATTTTATAAATTATATTTATATATTATTATATTGATCTTATGATCATCAAAGTAGCCTAGATCAATAACATATTCTCAATATGATTGACAAAGCTGTAAACTTAAGAATATTGTACATGAATGTAGTTGAGTCATTTCTCGTATAATTTATTTTTCATTTAGCTTATTTAATATTCACAATAATAAGATTAATAATAAATAAAACTTAGAATTAACTAATATATATGTTAAGAAATAATTAATATTAAATAAGAAAAAGACTTATAATATTTAGGTATTACTCAATAGTGGGTAACAATAAAAGAAAGTTGAAACATAAAGCACCTTAATTTATAAATCATATATAAACTCATAAAAAAATCTTTATAATAAAATATTACTTCTACGACAAAAAAAAAAGGTCATGCGAAGAATGATTGTATCGTTTGGTTCCGAAAGATATAAGTCTAACTTTTACAAATCAAATATTACATAAGTCTTTTTCTAATAATTGGTGGATTGATTCTAACACTTTTACTTATGTTATCAATAATAAAGTTTTATTTTAATATAAAAGTAAAAAAAAAAAATATTCATCGTTACAGGAGATCATCTTAATATTGATGATGCACGCTATGTTCCTACAATTATAGAAATTTAGTTTTTTTACATATAATTATTAAGATATTGTTTCTGTTTTAGTGATCGCAAACTTTGATTCAATAAAAACTTAACTTTTATTATGTATGATGGTTTGTATAAAATTAATTTAAATATTAAGTTTACAATAATTCTATAATCAAATATAGTTTTAAGAATCCATTGAGATTATGTATGCTTAAATCTATCGGTCACTCCATATTTCCTATTTTAGTAAGAGAAAGATATTTTTATCACCTTTATAAATAGCATGCTGAGATATAACTATGTATATGTTATCTATTTAAGGTCTTAGACTATTAATACCTTGAGAAGTATATAAATGAAATCGAGAGATGATTATAAAAAAATATTAAAGTTATATAAATATGAGTGATAAATTTTATGCTAAATATGATGAGTCTTATCGTAATTTTAGTTTTTTTGTTAGATTTTTTAAAAAGGTGAGGTATTCAATTTGTCTAACCAAATGTGTCACAACAGAACGAGATTATTTGAAGGAAGAAGCACACTCTAAGGATGGTTATATATATCGACGAGTTAGGAGTATGATGAGTTATTAGTCTGTACTATGATTAATGTAAAGAGAAGCTTTAAAAATAATTATGTATATTTTGAACAAGGTTCTTAATAGGTTAATTTCATAAATTCTTTTGAGTTATAGACGGGTAAGAAACCTAACTTGAGATATTAACATATTTAAGATTATTCTACGTAGATAAAGATTTTTAAATTATATGAAAAAATAGATTTAATGATAATTTTATGTATTTTATTGTTTATCTATAAAAAATCAAAGGGATACAAATTTTATTATTTTAATCATAATCGAGGATAGTTGAATATGTGTATAAAATTTTATTTGCTAGTGGTGATCTTAGTTTATTGTATGAAACTATAATATTTATCATTATGAAGTTTAAGATAGTTGATATCAGTACGATAGCTTATGTTATTGACATTGAGATATTCACAACTAGATCTAAATGATTATTATGATTATCTTAGAAAAAGTATATTATCAAATTCCTGAAGAAATTTAATATACAACCTTATCTAGTAAATGACATATCATAGCAAAATTTATTTCTAATAATGGTAAATAGTTAGAGAAAATAGTAAAAAATAATTAATATTAATTAAGAACTTAAGTTGTACTATTTTTATTTGAAAGAATATATATTCTTATGATTAGATTTGTGAGCAATCCATAAAAGATATGTTGATATATGTTTGAGCGGACATGATAATTGACACTATTATTTACATAATTAAAGTTATTTTTTTAATTATTTTTTTAATATTTATGTATGTATACATTATGATTGAATGTGTATAATATGATTGTTTGGATAAGATAAATTATATGAGATATTTTATATTCTAATATGAAGAGCTAATTATGTTATGACACATAGAAAGAAGCATAACATTCATAGCATACCATTGCTATGACAAGTATTGATAGTCAAACTTAATATGATATTATTATGTTTATTATATTTATTGGCTTGTTTTATAAGATTCATACACATGCATAATTTTTTAAAATATAATATAATTAAATAAAATTATTTTTTAATTTTTATTTATTTTAAATTCTTTTATATTTGATTATGTAGCTTATATAATTAGGTAATATATATTATAGATTTGATTGGATTATGATTTTAGTTATCGACTAATAAAAAAGAAGTTGAATTATATTAGAATTACTTAGAACATGATTTAAATCTCATAATTGCTTATCTTGAACCCTGTGCTCTCATCTATAAATAAATAAGACATCACTTGAAATGGTGTTAAGTTATATATTTAGACATTATAGATTTTATCTCATCTCCATTTTAGTCTCTATTTCAATTTCATTATTTAAAAGTCTAGTTATCTTTACATATCAACAATAGTTGTTTTTTCTTCTGGATTTGATAACGATATTTTTTAAGGTCAAATAAAAGTTTTATGAATAACATTAAAATATACACAATCATTATCGTTGATATATTATTATTTGATTTTAATTTATAACATTACAAATTTGATATGATAATATAATTATAATTTTTATGCTTATAAGTAAATCACATCATATATATATTTTTTATATGAATCAAGTTTTTCTTCAATAGATATTCAAATAAATTTAAAATGGATTTGCTCGATTAAGACCAAAAGATTCACAATGGTCTAAATATAAATAAAATAAATAAAAATAATTACAATACAAAAATATTCTTTTAAACTCATAATATTCCATGGTCAGAATTTGAGTCATTATAGCGGATCGGACTTTTTTGATCCGTTTAGATTAGGATAAACGGGTTCGGGTACAGCTAACTAGCCGTTGTTATCGGATGCACTCAACGCTGCGAAACCCGTCCATGCGACTGAGAGCGCCGCCTTCCCTCTCCGCCCTTCTCTCGCCACCAAAACCCTACCTCTTCTCGAAGCCCTTCTCTCTTTCCTATCTCTACCGTCCTCGAACCCTCGCGACCATGGCTAAAACCCTCGACGAATCCGACGTCGGCATCTCCTGCTACGTCTCTTCCCTTGCCGGCTTCCGCGGCATCTTGAAGCAGAGGTCTGTCTTTCGCCCTTCTTCCCAGCCCTAATTCTTTTGATCTTTCTCTTTTATCTGATCTTTCTTTATCCGATTAGGTACTCTGATTTCATAGTCAACGAAGTAGATTCCGATGGGAACATCGTCCGTCTCACCTCCTTTGATCTTCCCCCAGAGGTAGCTTTTGATGTTTGTGTGTTATTAAGGCTGTTTTGCTTTTGTTCGTACTTATGGGTTCTTTCTCCATTTATCTCTTGGTTTTGGGCCAGGAATTTGACGAGAAAGTTCGAGAGAATCCTTGTTCCGATGGTAAAGATTACACCTTGGAGATTGAATCGTTTCGGTCCCTTTGCGGCGAGGTTGATGCTGATGCATTGAAGGCTTTTCTTGGGAAGGTTTTGGCCTCAGAAAGCGATGCCTCTCCCATTGTGCTCTCTCCCGATCCTGACAAGTCTCATCGAGCGGTTGGTTTCGATAATTTCCATATTTTTCCTTTTTTTTGACGTTTTAAAATCTCTTTCATTCTTTCTGTTGCATTTTAGGAAGTTCACAATTTCTTCAAGAGGAATTTCAAGTTCTTGGTCACGGATACTGTTGAAGAATCAGAAGGGAGTTCAAAATGCATAAGGGTGAGGTTCTCTTCAGGCAAGGGAGGAGGTATGAGCAAGAGGGGAATGAAACGGAAGGATACCAAAGATGACAAACCATTTGACAGCAGAGGCTCTAAGAATTGGCCAGAGCATATTGGAAAGTTTTTGAGGTTAATTCACATCTTTTTCCCTCAGATTATGATCTATTATCAGGCAGTGGGAAATTTTCTGCTATAAACATACTCATTTTAGGCTATACTATTATTCTTTATATTAGGCAGAGAGAATTTTTGTTGAAACCGTGGTCATTCAAAGCTTTGTTGTTCTTTTTTTTTTTTCGATAAATAATGCTGCAACCAGTTAAAAGCTTTTTAGCCATTTAAAGATAAGACTAAAACAGTAAACAATAACTTTTTATGGCCAAGTTGCAAATTGCAATGCATTAGCAATTTTTTTCCCCCCATAGTATCCATAGTCTATATGATTTATCATTAAGCGGAGAGAATTTTCTGCTAGAAACAGTCATTTTGAGCTTAATTGTTATACTAAATAGATGATTTATTGGGTAACAGAGAATTTCTTCTAAAGCTGTTGCCATTTAAGCTTTACTCTTCAAATTTTGGAAATATAATGACACAGCAGTCATAAAACTTTTTTGACTCTCTGAACATAAAAAATCTAAAACTGTATTTCCTTCCACTTAAGTTGCAAATTGCAACAGATGAGCCTTTTTTTACAAGACAGTTCTTGTTAATATTTTTCTTTGATATGGATTTGATCTAATATTGACAATTTATCATGGACCTAAGGCCTTGATTTGGAAAGTTCAGATTTATATTCATCTGATGGCTTGTCTAGTAATATTACTCTGTATTCTGGTTTTTCTTAACCCATAGTTTCCTTACAAAAGGATGAAACCAGTGCACAAGGCTCTGGCCAATAGTCAATGTATGCAGTATTACCTCCATATATAGAGATTTTGTTTCCGATGGTCACAAGGGAGCAACCCATAGGATTCCTTATGATTGATAATTGTTGCAAGGGAGCAACCCGCATTTATGTATAGAAGTTTATCACTTTTACGGTTTTGTTGGATGTTCAGGTTTAATCTTTATAAAGAGAACAAGGACACCCAAGAGGCTTTAGGACTTATTGGAAAGATGCTAGGCGTTCATGTATGTCACCGATTTCATGCCATCTAATCAGTTTACCTCAGTGAATCTTATTGTGCTTTCTTATTGTTTTTTGAATTTACTAATAACTATCTATTGTTCTTGACAGCAACGATCATTCGGCTTTGCTGGTACAAAAGATAAACGTGCTGTAACTACTCAAAGGGTATCTTTTTTATTCTGTTCTAACATATTTTGTGTTTTGCCGTCTTTTTCTAATTTACAATCTTGATCATTGCCCATATTTTTGCACTTAGTTCATGATTTTATCTATTGTAGAATTTGCAAGATATTCCCTAGTAATATTGTAAAGTGTGAATGTCTATGTAATTCTTTTTTATAGTTTTGATTTTATCAGATTCTTTTAGCTTTTCAACTCACTAAACATTGTAAAACGTTTTTTTTTTTTGCAAGCTTTAGGAGGACACTTTGCTTTGTATCAAAATCTTGAACTGTATAACAGGACCAGGTACAACCAGTGGCTGCATGTGCATGGCCTATGCTGGCCTGTATCTGTTGGCATTAGAACCAAGCAAATAAATCATGGAAAAAAAAAACTAAATTGACCGGAATGTTCGGTTCTCCCTAGTTATACGTTCAATTTTTGTTCTTGGATATTGAAAAATGAATCACTTTGTTCAGTTGGGGAAAACTATGGAAATCAAACTAGAATTTCTGTACTTCACAAAATTTGTCTGAATTTAATTGGAATCATCCACCTTTTGTATGGATAATGGAGGAGGCATTCCATTTTCATTACTATAAATTAAATGGTTCAGTTTTGATCTTATTTGGGAAAACTATGGAAATTAAACTAGAAATTCTATACTTCACAAGATTTGTCTGAAACTTTGAATTTAATTGGGATCGTCCACCTTGGATAATAGAGGAGGGATTCTATTTATATGGCTATAAATGAATCCCAGAATTTCGTGTTCCCATTGTTGATCCCAAGGACACAAGCATTGTCATATTCTCCATTATTGATGCATGTTTGTTCTCTCTGTCACCTATATTGCGAATAAGCCATCTTTGATGATCTCAAACTTGCGATATTTTGTTTCTTTCCCATTGACAACTTATCCTCATCAATTTTGCATCTTTAGCAAACCTGCTCAATGACCTACTATCCTTTGTTGTTGATCAATCAACTATATGCCCTTGTCTTTTCCTTTGCAACCTCTGTCTTTTATTTGCTTTGACATTGGCACCGCCACACCTCAAGGAACTGATGGAACTGCTCTGACATCTTTCTCCTTGGTTTCTGGCTTATGGTAATGGGGAGCAAGATCACCATTGACATTGTGAAGGTATTCAATTCATTTATAAGCATCATGAACCAAGATGAACTGGAAAATTAGGTTCAGTTTCATTTTTCTACTTTAATTCTGCCCGTTCAGTAGTAATTGAAAACTAAAGGGTTCGTTTACAATTATGCGAAACAGAATACAGCCTATTGTAGTTGGGCAAAGCTTTTGCCAGCTTATCCCCATCGGCACATATTGTCTGTTAATTTTTTGGGCATGCTATTGAACATAAAACCTTGGATATTTTAGTGTAATTAGTGGCTTATTGTAGAATAATTACTGAATGAATGCTGTTTTCCTTTATTAGGTGTATAGTTTCATAGTTTTTCTAATGAAATACTTATTTTGGAAAAATGGCAAGGAAATTCAGAGAATGAAATGGAAGATCCAGATGAGTTGTTGATTATTGCAGTCTTGAGGATGAGTTCAACACAAACTACAAATTGATACTTTTAGTTCAGCTTAGAAGAGTTTGTTTTAGTTTAGTTTTTGGTTTTCTTTCTCATTTTCGTTGTAGTTTTCTGTTATGTAATGAACTCTAGATGATTTGTGACCTTGGACTTGTATTGGATAATGCTTAGGTTACCATTGTTTAGGATAAGTCTTATTGTTATTGTTTCAATTTCTATTATTTAGTTGAAAAGTGGAATATATTCCTAGGAAATTTCTAGTTAAGTGTATGTTAGGTAAATAGAGAAACAAGGCCTTATTTTGTCCACAATCTTTGTAGTAGTTGAGTGTATTAGCTTATCTCTAAATAAGCTAATATGGTTGAACTGTTGTATGGTTGAGCCACTTAAAAAATTCCTTAAGCTAACATATGCCTTGTTGACGTCCCCTACTACTAAATTTTTTTAGTTTTAACTCATCAATATGTTGCTATCCATGTGCATAGAAACGTCCCCTACTACTAAATTTTTTTAGTTTTAACTCATCAATATGTTGCTATCCATGTGCATAGAATTCTAAAAAATCTAGGTAATTTACCACATGTTGGATCCACTGCATGTACAATGTCAGATACAAGTTGTTTCTGCTGCAAATAGTCAAGAAGAAGCTTATCAATTATGTGATTTCATGCAGTGGTTTTAAAAGGCACTCGGGTGAGGCGAGGCTTGAGTGCCTCGTAGAACCCCCAGGCATAGCGCTTCAAAGAAGCGCTACTCGGGCACTCGCTTGAGCCCAAGCACCAGGCACCTCAAGTGAGCGCTCGAGCCAAATTTGTTCGAGTTCAAACTTTGGTTCAATTATATTTATATGTTGGTTCAATCAAACCAACTAACATAGTTACCCTAACATCATTCAACCCCCTCCTTTGCCTAACCCGGTAAAAGAAAACAAAGGTGAAATGAAACTCTACATCTGTCGCCTTTGTTTGCTCTGCTACCCTACATCTGTCGCCTTTGTTTGGTCTGCTAGCCATCGTCGGCAACCTCGTCCAATCTCGTTCTGTGCTGTAGCTCAGTTGCTGTCGCTGCAACTTGTTTGTCGTTGCAGCTCGTTCGCCATTGTGCAGCTTATCTAAATCCTAAACCTGTTCCACCACCATAGCTCTATCTATTGTTGTAGTAGCTCTGTCTGCCACCAACGACAACCTCTTCGATTGCTTTCATTCGCCGCCTTCGCACGCGTTGTCTGACGTTGTTGATCCGTCCGCCGTCATCGATAACGTCATCTGCTGCCTTCATTCGCCGCTGCAACTTCGTCCAATCTCGTTCGCAGTTGCAGTTTCATTCACGCCCTATGCTTCCCCCACCTTTCTATTAATTAAACTGCGAACGGACGAGCAACAACTCGTTTGGAGCAGTTTAAATATATTTGTTGTATCTACAATACCATGGGCAATATGCACTTTGATTTATACATGAAACTTCCTTAGCTTTTACTTGATAATGTCTTAGAGCAGCAAAACATTCGTAGTTAACAAGATGCTTTTGGAGCAGTTTAATTCTAACACAGGTCTTCATAAACATGTTTAGCATATTTCTATTTAGCTGTATATTATTTTAATTATAATATTCGGGAGCACCTCTCTTTGCTCGAGTGGTGCCTCGGGTGTTTTGGGACCTTGGTGCCTTTTGGCGTTTAGCGCTTTTAAAATCACTAATTTCATGTCATCATTCAAGTTGGTGATGCATTACATGTCAGAAGGAGTAGGTGCAAGTCCTCCAACATAGTTATTTTTACAAAACAATGATAACGCATTTTAGAGGTTTGCATCTAATATAATGCAAAACTAGGAATCTAGTTCTTCTCTTGTCCAATGATAACGCATATAAAGGTTTGGATGTAATATAATGTAAAACTAGGAAGTAAGTCCTTGTTTGTCCAATTATAGTTAGTAGTTGAACTTTTTGACACGTACATAAATAATGTCTCGTGGCTGAAATATTTGCATGTGTAGTGGATTTCTATTGAGGTTGAAATTCTGTATGTGTTATAGATTTCTATTGAAAACATTATATTAAACAAACATGCCTTGTTGTCCATCACGATTACTTCCTAATTTCTTTAAATTAAGTTGTTACTCTACTGCTTGCCTGGTGCATATGATTCTTAAAACTTAAAAAAATATAGTTCTTTTACTGCATGTTTGGACCCACTTCATGAGTTTGTATTGTATCTAACACAATGCTTTTCTGCTACAAATAATAAATATGAATCTTATTTATTATGTGATTTTCATGTTATCATTCAATTTGATGATGCATAACATTGTCACATATTTAATTAGAATTACCTAAGTTGTGAGGCACCATTGCGTTATCCGTTCGCAAAGGGTCAACTTAGTTGCAATCTCGCTCAGGTCTCGAAGGACCTGTAAAAGAATAAATTGATTAGTTCGAAAATGAGCGGCGGACAAGTCCCAACGTTTCGCAAAGGGGACTATTTTACAAGTAATTCAACAAACATTTGGTGTGCAAGTGAGAAAAGAGAGGAATGAGAAAACAAAGACTTTAGAAGGCAAATGAATAGTCGCAAGTCTGCAAACGACTACTCACCGGGTGTTGTTGTTGCATGACGATCGTCCGTGACAACATGTCAAAAAGGAGAAGGTGCATGTCCTCCAAGATAGTTATTTTGGAACAATGTTAATGCATAGTAGAGGTTTACATGTGTCAGGAATATTATGATAAAATTGCAGCTTGAAAGAAGTGCTAATGCTTTCTGATTTAGGCTTATTTTGTTTAGTCACCTTTTTTCCTTTTTAAATAAATGTTTCCTTTTCAAGAAATTTTTATGGCGATGCTTACAAAGATTGATGTTGAATGTTCTGGGAAAATATCTTGTTTTATTAGGTTACCATATTCAAGCAGCATGCGAAAAGGTTAGCTGAACTTAACAGCAGACTATTTGGTGTTAAAGTAGGAGATTTTTGGTAAGAGCAGTGAGTTTCTGTTTTCTCATGATTCTTGTAGCATTATGATGGTGATACAATATAGTTGATCATGGTAATAGTTATGTAAAGGAAGGGCTTGTTCTTGGCCAGCTTGCAGGAAATCGTTTCACAATTACTTTGAGGTACTTTTTGGTTCTTATAGCTTTATATGGTATTAGGATGTTGTGGTCCTTTTTACAGCTTCCTAGGTAAATTTTTGAATATATATACTAGAACTACTAACTGACATATAATTTCTAGAGTCGTTGCTGCAGATTGTAAGGACACCATAAAAGCAGCTGCAGATGGTTTACAGAGGAATGGGTTTATCAACTATTATGGTTTACAGGTAACTTCTCCAGTCTAACTATATGTTAAATTGATACATTGTGGCTTTCTTGAAATGCTTCCATGTGAGGCTCAACTTCCATGTTGTAACTGTGGTATTATATCAGCGTTTTGGAAGTGGTTCTGTGCCAACCCATCTTGTTGGAGCAGCTTTACTTCGGGGGGAATGGAAAGGTGCTGCAGCTCTGATTCTTGATCCCAGGGAAGGAGATATCCTTAAACTAAAGTTCCGCTGTACTCATTATACTTTACATTTCATAAGTGTTCTCTTAGTATCTTGTTTCTTTATCCTTGACACTGTTAAAACAACGCCCGATCACAAGAGAGGCACGGGAATATTATAAAGAACATGGTGATGTTGATTCAACACTGAAGAAACTACCTCGTTTTCTGGTTGCTGAGAGGGCTATTGTGAGTTTTCTGGAATTCTCTGTTGTATAAATGACCTCTTGCTTCCATACTCTTCACGTTAGTTCTTGCAATTTGAGTTTTACCTAATCTTACTAATTTTATTACATTACTAGATCCACTGTCATTAAATAGCAATAAACACTAATTTTCATATGCCTCTTTATAAATAGCAATAAACAGTTATATGTGCTTTCTTTCATCTGTGACAATAGTCTATCAAACTTTTATTGAATGGGTATGAAGAGAATATTTTAGTTGTATGATTTTATTTTGGTCCTTTATAGTTTCATTTCTTGCGATTTTAATGGTTTTTTTTGCTTATAATAGGAGTACCTATGGCATTTCAATTTTACAATAATTGAATTTACGATTTTGGCATTTGAAACACTTTGATTAGAACTCTTAATTTGCTGACAGCCTGATCTTGTTTTGTTTTTCTTAAAATGATTTAGGAGAAGTACTATTTCTTTTATTTCTTAAAATGAATTTTTCATATTCTTGATAAGGACTTATTAGTAGTTTCTTGCATGGAATTTTTGTACAAGATTTATTATTAATTTCTTACATTGTAGATGTTAACATATTTGTAGCTACTTTTGAGATGAATGATTGACATTGTGAAGCACTGAATATTCTAAGGTTGTATTTGGGAACACATTTGTATTTCAAACATGCATTTAGAGGAAGGGATTTGGGTGGATGTGCAGTTGGAGAATGCTTCAGCCTTAAAAGTGTTTGGTAAACAATAACATTTTAAATGTGCATTAACGTAAACGTTAAGTGTTGTTTGGTAAAACTATATTTCAAAAGTTCATTGAATATTATGTGACAAATTTACTCCTCTTAACATATTTAATATTTATTCAAAAGTAGATACATATTTTTATTTAAATTAATAATTAACTAAATAAAAATAAATAAATGTTTATATATAATCTTATAAAAAATTTATATGGTCCAGATATCTAATAAATAAATAATATAATCATACAAATGAATATAAAACAATTTTTAAAAATAAATAAATAAATATTTTATATAAGACATAAATCATATTGATTTCTCACTATAGTGACAATGTTGTGATTTTAGATAGAATCATATGGTACTTTGGCATTTAAAAAGTTACATTAACATCCTGAAAACCCTAAAGTAGCATCAACATTTGTGCATTTTGGATGCAGCATCCAGGCCAAATGAAATTTGAAAAAAGTTAACCAAACACCGCCTCACTTTTGAAATGTGCATTGGATCCTCAATGCACATTTCAAATGTGTTCCCAACTCTTAACAGTGAGATCTTTACTCTGTTGACTCGGGCCCTTTTCCCACTCCCTTTTTGGAGTATGAGCAGGTGGCCCTCGGATGGGAGAAGATCTTGAGACCTCTAACTCATAAAAACATCTTGGATAAGAGCTGCTTTTCTTCAAACAACCAAACATATAATTTTGTTCATATTTTTTTAAATAGGTTGCATATTGTTTTCTTATGTGTAATTCTTATTAGAAGTTTGTTAAAATAAATTCTTATTAAAAAGTTTGCTACGAGTTCCTTAAATGTAAATGTTAACATATTCCTTGGTACTTCTAAGACAAACTTGACATAGTGGAGAATTGTCAGTGGTCATGCCTCTGTTGGTAATACAAAGATAATAATGTTGCCTCTGGCTTGTGGCTTACTATTTACGGTAGAGGTAAACCATTTGCTGAACTTTATTTGTGCTTTTTCATGTGTAATTTGACACTTTTTTTTTTTTTTTCCGTTTTTGATCTACCAGCTTCAATGTTTGAAGAAGTCCCCTGGCAACTACCTGCAGGCACTAAAGGCTATTCCTAGAACATTGAGAATGATGTAGGTGTTTGATTCTAAATTGTTGCAAAAGTTTAATTTTCTTTTCCTGAGAGGTTTCTTGGAGCCTATGACCAAAAAATGTGCTATAAATGATTTATAAATAACAATTTTGCTCAGAATGAATACTAGCAACTTATTAAGGTGCTCAATACCAGTCCGTTACCGGTATAGTCTTGGTTCAGGTTGGTAGTGTACTGGTACCGGCCACTTTTACAACCATAGGATCATTGACACTGTTGCAATCACACCTAGATGGTCAACTGGGTCCATGGAGTGGCTTTTGGTCCTTCCAATCCCATGACTTTTAACCCTGGTGGATATCTTCTCTCGTATGTGATAAAATATGACAAATATTTACACAGAACTTATGGTCCAAATGGGCACCACATCACCATGCGGCGTTCCTAATTTTCTTTTGCCACCCACCTCGACCAATCATATTGTGTTGTTTTTTCGTTGGACCAATGAAGATTTGTTGCTAACCCTCCTTAAAAGGCAAACAATAGGTCATGCTTTAAATAAAAACAATACCCTCCTTAGGGGTAATCTCATCATCTAGTGTTCATCAGTCTGAGTTATTAATGCTTTCTACAGTTTTAGTGGATACACCCTACCATATTTTTTTACTAAGTTTGACAGTCTATGTTAAATGAACTTGATGGATCTCTAGCTTTATTGAGCAACAATTCTTCTGATTATTAGTGCTCATAACTACATTATTGTTGAATTTGTCTTATCTTGTATATCGTAAACTGGTTTTGACTTGTTCTCCTTACTCTTTATCTCTCTTTGGTAATGCATTGCAGATATAAATATATATATTGTAGTAAACGTATATTAGCTTCTCCAAGTGTCCATATGCAAACCATCAAATTTTTGACTCAAAGGATAAGGTGGGCCTAGCACACCCGCATGACATTTCTTTAAATGAGGCATGCATCATTCAAAAGGTTCCTATAATGCAAATAGGGAAACCCTTGCGCTGGACAAGTCTTGAGGTATATCAAGATCTTATGCATGATGTCAAGATGAGAGGCCAAAACATTTTTGCTTTATGCAAATATAACAATTTGGGTTCAATATGATTTTCTTCATTCTAGTGAAATGTATGTAGTATTATTTGACATTTATGTATTATCAGGATTCATGTTATGCCCCTCCCTAAATGTAATGTTGGCAGTTACCATTAAGGTTCCATAAACCTTTTTAACACAGACATTTCTTAGATTAAGATGGTTCAATTATTACCTTGCATTTATCAGATTACTTGTACTTAATTAAAATTTTAACTCTACCTTTTAGTAACAATGGAGTCATTTTCAATATCTGACTCTAATTTGTTTATCGCATTGCAAATGATAAGTAACACACCTTAAACTTTGGTCTGGTAGTGATGTACCAGACCCACTTATCAAAGGTTGAGAGATCGAAACCTCACATGATATATTTTTGCACCTTAAATATTGGTCTAGTGGTGGTGTGCCAAATTCACTTACTAAAGGTTAGGGGTTCAAAACCTCATCTAACATATTTTTACATATAACGTATTGGTTGTGTACCAGACCCATTTACCCAAAGGTTGAGGGTTCGAAACCTCATCCAACATATTTTTACATCTAAAATATTTGTTTGATGGTGGTGTACCAAGCCCACTTACCAAAGGTTGCGGGTTTGAAACCTCAACTGATATATTTTGTGCTCGAAACATTGGTCCAGTGGTGGTGTACGAGACCCACTTACCAAAGGGTGAGGGTCCAAAACCTTATCTGATATATTTTATTACTTTAAAGTTTAAACATTAGTTTGGTGGTGATGGATCAAACTCACCAAAGATTGAGACCTCAAAACCTTATCCGACTAATTTGAAAATGCCAACTAGCTTAGCTAGTGAAAACTTTGATAGTTTATTTCAAGATGCCAAGATCCTAAGCTTGAATCTTGCCATCACCATTTATCATTTGCGTAAAAAGAAAAAGGTAACAAGTCTTTTTCAGTGGTGAAACTTATTATGTTCATTTAATTTTATCATAAAATGTTGGACTAAGTTGATAGCCTATAACATTTTATGTTCATTTAATTTTATCATTTTATCCAATATGAAGTTGTATCACAATAATTTCTTTACTGGTCATATGGAGATCCCTAGACATATGTTTGTTGCATCATTAATCAATGATGGATGAAGGGCTCATGATGCCCAGGATGTGCCTTGATGATCTAGTCTCTTGCAGTTTATATCATCTGATACAGCAATAACCCATTTGCAGCCTCTCATCAGAAAACATATATAGGCTCCATGGAAACACTAGTCTTCACTCTATAATTCCATAATTTGGGAGCCAAAATCTTTTTCACCACCTTTCACTTGGCTGTGATCTTATATCAGTATGCTTCTAAACTCATCTACGTTGATAATATTAGTTAATATATTAACTTTTGCATCTTAAAGTCATCTACGATGTATGCAACAGGGTATTGGCCAATAGCCTGTGCAGGATGAGCCTTGAATGAGGCTCAGGCTACAAAAATATCTTTGATATTTTCTTTGACTTGACATTTGAACTTTTCTATTCCACTAAATCTAGATGTGAAGGTAACTGTTAGATATGGGAGGATAATTATGTTGCATAGAACTTACATATCACCCTTCTTTCTTCCTCTATTATTCCCCCTCTTTTTCTTTTACCTCCATATTACTCAATTAATGCTAGATCACTATTCTTGCTACTGAGCTGATAGGCTTGGAACAATCTTTTTCTCCTATATCTAACTCATCTTCCTCCAATTTGTTTCTCAAGAATATTACATTGCTGTCCATTCCTCGTTCCCTGTTAATTTTCCCTATAGCTTCACATTTTTGTCATTCATCTTTTTCTTCATATACCTTTGTTCTGCATCCTTTCCACAAAAAAATAATTTTAAGTTATTATGATAAGTTGTTTTCTAGTATCTTGTACAATATTGTTTATCTTTGTCGTTTTTTATTCTTGTACTTCTATATTTTAATTTATTATCATTGTTTTAATAGTTTTTAGGACACTTCTTTTATTCGTACAGGTATGTGCATAGCTACCAAAGTTTTCTATGGAACCATGCAGCTAGCATGAGGGTGCAGAAATATGGTATGTTGCCTCTTTTTCAAGGCTTTGATTGCCACTGAAAGGTTGTCACAGCGTAAAAGATTTTTTAATGTTTAGAGTCGTAAAGAAACTTGAAATCAATTGAAAGATATGAAGATATTAGGGGTAAAATCAAATAGTTGGAGCCTGTTATTTCTACACCAAACAGTCATAGTCTTAATGGGACAAAAAGGTTTCAGGTCAATGCTCGGGTTAGTTCATGCTAGCATTTGGGGTATCACCCAAAACATCTCATGCCAGTTGGTTTCCTAACTTGAAAAGGGAGATCAGCTGAGACAAGTCATGTTGTAAGTATAGAGCTTTGCTTGTACTAAATGCTTGGGGGTTCTAATCGGCCCAGATGTTATTTAAAATTTTAAAACTTGTTGGTATTGAGTTAGTGTGTAGCTCTTTTATTTGCTAATTGTTGAATATCTACCCATCTCATTGAGGTCTTCATCATCTTGATGCCATCTCTCATCCAAGGACAGGTCGAAAGACAAGGATGTGGATGTAAAAGACGATTATAGGCTATATGTATTAGTTTTATGTTTAATCATCATTTTTGTGTTTTGGCTTTTGGCATTGCCGATTTACAATTCTGCACTACCAACATGATTGTGTGTGCTTGTTTATGCTGGTATCACCTAAATTTTTTGGGCTCATCCAACATTATTTTGTTATGGTTGTCATATTTATTGTCCGTTGACTTTTTTTTGCTCCTATTTCCTATTTCTTCTCGCTTTTTTTGTTTCAATGGTCTCTGCCTTAGTCTCTAATCTGCTATCATTTTTCTTATATGCTCTTAATATTATTTCTTATCTTCAACTATTTATTTTATATTTTTCAGTTCATCTAATATAAACAATGGAGATTATATTCACTTTGTATATGGCCTTTGGAATCAAACCAGGGTTATATCCTTCGCTATGAGAGTCTTTAATGAACAAGAAAGAATGGCATAACACTTTTTTGTTGTGAACAAAATTTGGGAAAGCTTGAGATATTATTAGTGCAGATTGTATTGGGATGGCATGATGAATATGGATTGTGGTTATTCAAACGCAAAATCCTTTTTGCTCACCTTATTGAACTTTGTTTATGCAACTAAATAAATAAAAAATCTTTTTCTAGCTACCTAGTCTCTTGGAATTCTTGGATTAGATGCATTCAATTCATGAACTGTGTAGAACAACATGTTGATTTCTACTTGTGATTTATTTAACATAGGAATGGCAAACAGTTGTTACTCAAATCTCATGGGGGATACATTAATCGTCTTTTGAGTGGCGAGATAAACGAAAACACTTTATTTAAGTAAAAAATTAAAGAAAAGTTGTGTGTACCAACAGGACATCTGATGCAACTCGGTCTGATTCAAGTTAATAATTATTAAATCTATTTGATTGTTAATGAAGACTAAATTTGAGTCAATTTATGTTCAGGTTGAGATTTTGTTTCTAGTCAATTTGTTATATATGTTACTATGTTCTGGGATCAGAATGCGTTAGATTTGGACCCTGCTTGTAGTAGGCTTATGCAGGATAGGAAGGGGCAGACAATTTATTGTTAAAAGAGGTAAAATTGTATTGTTTGTGATTTTAATTCTAGCCAATTTGTTATATATGTTATTATGTTCTGTGTTCAGAATGGGTTAGATTTGGATCCTGCTTGTAGTAGGCTTATGCAGGATAGGAAGAGGCAGCCAATTTATTTTAAAATAGGTAAAATGACAGGGCTTCACCATTGCTCCAGCTGGTTACTGCAACCTGAAGTTGATTTTTCCGGGTGGAAACTATAGCATGTGGATAGATCTAGTTAAAAGATTGTCTTAGAAAAATAGCCATAGAACTGGTGCTGCCATGAATATATGTAGGCATTTTTTAATTTATTTCCTTTCTGAGAGTTACTGAGTTAAATACAACCTTTTATTATCTTTAGAAAAAAATAGTTGCTGTATGATTAGTTTATGAATACAAACAAAATTGTTCAGTCCCCTGTGGATTGGTTCATCCTTTTCTGACTTCCCTCTTTTTCTCTATCTTACCATCCCTTTACACACCATTACTTTTAGAATATCTTTATGCAGCCCTACGGAGGACTGCAGACAATATCTTTATGTATTGTAGTGTCGCAAAAGGTCATCACCATGAGCAACAAAAGATTCATAAACTTAAGAGAGATGGGTTCTTTTTTGATATCATAGCAAAGCTGATCTCCCATGATGAGTATTAAGATTGGAAACATTACAATGGTGAGTTAAGGCAGATGAGTTGAAGTACTATTATGACAATTATTAACTTAAAGTTGGTTGTGAAGTTCTTTGATATGGATGATAGTGGAAGCAAGGGGTTCAAGTACCTAGGCATAGGACAAGTAGACTAGGATTACTGAGTAGTGATCTGGTAGTCTGAGCTTGGTTAGTAAACAATGTCCAATGTGATTAAATACATCCTCTATATCAGGTGATTAAGTGTACTCATGGTGTTTGGTCTGACCAAAATTTTGGGTTCATTATCCAATCAGTATTCTGATGTAGGGTGACCAATATGGTAATTGGCTGTCTGAGCTTACCGGTTGATAAAGTGTATGATTAAATATTTTGTCTGTATGGTTTAGTGTATGTGTGGTGTTGTACTACTCCCATCTCATTGTTGAGTCCTTGATGTCCATTTTATTTCACCCATTAGCTGGACCAGGAGAGGAGAGACAAAGCAGAGGACAAGGTTGAGAAAGCATATAGAGTGATCGAGGAAGATTGATGGTCAGTAGTGGGCCTGAAAAGACTAATTGAGCAATGAGGGAAGGCTCAATGGCTGACTGTGGGGCTGAGAGGGGAGACTGAGCTCAAATGATTGGAAGAGTGGCGAGGGAGAGTTCTATCATCGGCTATAGTGCAAAAGATGAGAGATTGATCCAAAAAGGACCAAGACAATAGTTGAGAGATCACAAACAGGTGGAGCTGACAATACATGGAGAGCCACTAAGGTAGGTCTGATGCCTAATGGTGGGTTTGATAGGGAGTGGGGCAATGGGGGAGAGTTTGAGGGCTGGCTATGTGATGAAACCACAGTGAAAGCAGCAAAGGAGAGACAGACCAACTGCCACTGGGGAGAATAGTAGAGAAGTTAGATTGTAATAACTTTTCGCCCACTTGATGCATGTGGGATGAAACATGTGACTAACAAACAAAGAAGAAATTACAATCTAATTAAAGCTTTCTTTCAATTTCTATAAAGCATGTACACAATTACTAAACAAACAAAAAATGAAAAATGTAATAGTATCTCTGTCCAAGTTATGGGCCAGTAAGCTAACAAGTTTTACAGTTGAGGGGCTGATTTATCCACTGAAGCAAAGTTGATAGTCCAATTATGTAATGATAACTATCCTTAAGAAGTCAATTGAATCTCCTAGCCTATTGCTACTGGTCTAAGCCATGAACAAGTTTACATAGCTTATGAAAAAGTATAATGCATATATATTGTCTTTGTACTTTCTTTCTTCTTTTACTACTATGTATGTAGCATAGCCTACTCAAGACCTCTCCTGTAATAAATACTGTGATGCAAACTATTGGTACTGTGAAAACAGTGTTCCATTTCTGTTCATCTAGTCTCGTTGGTAATTATTGTATATGACAGGGATTTCACAGATGGTACTAGGAGATTTGGTACTATGTAAGGAAATCTCTCCTGCAGAAATGGCTTCCTCTGACAATCCTGACCTCGAAGATGATTGTAATGATGGAGATAATTGTTTATTGGATTTGTCTGATGGAGTACATTCTGAAGAAAAGGTTCAATTTGTAAAAGTGAGTTGTTTTTTATTATGACTAATCTTTGCTCCAACATTTAATTTTACAGGTATACTATCTTAAGTTCTAATTCAAGACTTGCATGTACACAGATCGAGAGAGAGGGTATCTTGTAGAACACATTCAAGAACTATACTGTAGATTCAAAGTCTAGGAAGAAGATTCTGACTTGAAGATTTGGTCCTTTTGGCCATCTATTTTAATGTTTAGAATTTACATATAAACTGAGATATCTATGTTTCTGAGTTCTGCATCAACTGCGCAGAAAATAAATGGCTTAAGATGATACCTTTTAAATATCTGAGTACATTTGTGCTCATGATTGGTGAGGTGAACTGACTGCACCTTGTATGAATTTTTGATATTTAGATATGAGCAAGTTGGTTTGAGCCCTCAACCCTGCTAGGTCAAAATCTGTGGTATGGTTCAAATTAGAATATACGTCAGCTTGTATTTGCCTGCAAATTTTATAAACTTGGGGAAAAAGAACTATGTTTGGACTTTGGAATTACTTTTGTCAGTTCATCAGGAAGTGTGTCGTAAACAATTATAGAAACAGTTGAATGCTTAAATTCGATGTCTAACTTTCTCAAGTTAATCCATATACTGCTAGTGTGATTTTACATTTTTTGTTAAATGAAAACATTAGTGAAGACACTACTGATTGAACAGTATCATTCTCTTTAATTATGACATCGATTAATGCTTTGTCTGTTACAGGTTGTTGATTCTGAAGATCTTCTTAAAGGACTCTATACATTCGAGGACGTTGTACTTCCTTTGCCTGGGTATGGAGCATCTCAATACCTTGTGAAGGTTCACGTAGAAACTGATCTTGATAGTTAATTCTTTTCTTCTATTTGCAGTTCAAAAATTTTGTATCCAGCAAATGATATTGCTGGTGTGTATCATGATTTGGCAAAGAAGGTGGGTGTTTTTTCTCTTAAAATGGTGTAGAATAATGTATTTGTTCCACCAACCAGTTTTTTCTCTGGTCGTTCTTGATTGTTAACTTGTTTAATGACCAAATTTTTTAGTTGTTTAATGTCAAGCTATCATCTAGATCATGTATGGTCATAATTATCATGACTGTGTCTACCTTATATCTCTGCTGGGTTTTTGTTTTAGATAAGCATGTTGCAGGGAACATCATATATCAGTTGCTATTTAGATATGAGCTCATTTTGCAAATGGTTAAAGCTTGCTGATTGTTATCTTTACAAGAAATTATATTGTGCTTCAAAATAATGCCCAGTCCTCTGCATGGATCATATTTAGCCTGCTTTTTTAATTTCTCCAGTCCATTATGACATAATCATAGTATTTAGGACACCCAAGTATACATGAATTTTAACAATGACGTAAACAGATGTTTTGATGATCTTTTGAGATTTATGAGAGTTATAAGTGGTCAGCAAAGATTAGGAATGACATAGGTGGTTGTTGGTATTGTTTCAAGAGCCACTGAGTGAATAGAAAAGGTTTAGCAGATGAATAAAGCAAAGAAAGGTTTTATTTTTCAAAGTTCTTATGACTTATGGAAGAGAGAGAGGAGACATGGTTCCTAGGAATCTCACCTGATGCATGGATGATGGTGTCATGCTCTTGAAGGAAAAAGAAGTGTATTGCTAATCTTGTCAGGGAGGGAGCGTACGTGGAGACAGTTCCTAGGAATCTCACCTGAAGCATGGATGATGGTGTCATACTACTGAAGGAAAAAGGATGTGTCTTGTTAGTTTTGTCATATACTTCATTGTGATCACTAATTATAAGGGAGTTAAACTTTTAGTATAAAGACTTTCCAAAGATAATAAATCTTGTAACTCTTTAAAATCCTATGTAAAGAAATGAAAATATTTCAAAGCATGATTTCTAGTGGCTTAAAGGTTTCTCTCTATTCATGGTTCAGAAACAATGATACACATGTTATGTACTTGTTCGAGCATAGACCAGGTTACTGACCAATTGATTACGGTTGTGTATATTGGCCAAATTTTAATTTAGTATACTTTTATTGGTTTAGGTTAGTATTGGTTCCTTTTATCCAACTGGTTGAAATTTTATTAACTTCAATCTGTTTGATTGAAGATTTTAATTTGCCCCACTTCAAGCAATTGCGAGTGGTGACCCCCAATTTGTGATTAACTTTTCATTGCAAAAACCTTGTTGACGTGGCAACAAAAATAGAAAAGAGAAGTGCGGACAGTGGCAGTAAGAATGACAACAGGTAGGTTACCCATGAATATTCACCATATCGATTCCTGAGCCCAACTGACTACACATGTATCTGATCTTATTCCAAACCCAACTCTAATACTATTTTTTTGCCGATATCTGTTCCAAATCTGACTAATTGATACCCTAATCCGGCTTAATCTGATTAAGTGCTAGTCTCTGGAAAAAACTCAACCCACTACCATGTAGCAATGTCTACATGTCAAGAACAAGGAAATTCAACCGTGCTCATTCTTGGACAGACTTAACCACTGCATTCCCAACCTGTTTTGGGTACCTATTTTCACACCTGGATTGATGGACACCCCAATTTGGCTTAAGCGGATCGGGGATCGGTAGGTGTGAGGAACCCCAAAAATTCTACTTCCCTACCCAAACTCATCCAAAGTCCGATTTAAGGGTATTCAAATTCGGTTTAAGTGGGTTAGGTAGATCCAGCACCTGAAGAAACCCTGACCTGTTCTCATGCATATGGTCAGTGGCCAATTTAACAAGAAAAGATGCCATATATGTATGACCTGCACAGCTTATGTTCAGGTTTGACTAGTCAACTGGAGTTTTTCTTTAAAAAATGGGCTCCCTGTCTGATCTTGCATATAATTTTAATACCTTTCCAACTTTGATTGAAGCCTAGTTCAGCTTTGGGTTTTATCAATTTCAGCAGTACAAATTCACTCAGGAAGCTTGATGCTGAAATTCAGATCCATGAGAAAGTTGTAAATTAAAGCCTCATAAAATGAATCTCAAAGGACCTATTAAGTAAGGTAGCTGCTGTCCATCCTCTGTTTGACTGGAAATGGTTGCAGACAGCCCCCTTAAGTGACATGCCGAGTGAGTCGGCACTTGAGGTGTGGAACACCTATATGGGTTCAGACAATTAAGGAGGGGGGGTGGGGCAGCAGGGTTCTTAGGAAAGTTATATAGGTTCAAAGGCATGATACTTACAGAATCCATGCTGTGTAAGCTAGATCATGCTTCTGAGACTTAAAACTTTATTTATGGCTTCATAAAAGTTAAATATCTTTCCTTCGGTTGTGACCCTGAAAGAGCAGTAGATAAATATCAAAAGTATTCGTGCAGTTTTTTTTACTGCATTATTGTTCAATGGATCTACATTTCCTAATTGAAGCTCCTATAAGTTTTGTAACTTTGTTGTTATTGGTTTTCTAATTTTTTACTAAAAATCTCTTGATCTGCTAGTTGTTTTCTTGCATATTAAGTTACATAATCATAATTTGTTTAATCTTCATTTTTCCTCTTAGCTACAAAGTTAGGAAAACAGAGTTCCAGGTCAATATGACATTAATTCTATCAAAAGATGACTCCATTGATCTATATGATCAATCTTGCTTGATAATGAAACATGACTGACATGGAAAAAGTGTTCGTATAGCACGCCAAAAAAAACAAAGCAAGTATATCTTTCTATGCAATGATGCAGTACTCATTTTAGTGTTTTAATGGTCAGGATGGAATTAGCTTGACAGAAAGTGTTCATGGTGCCAAGTAAGTTGTGCTTAAATCCTCTCTGTGGATATTATCTATTTTCCTTGCATTATCATTGGCTTCTGGTTCATGCTTGCTCTAACAATTTATGTTATCATTTGTGTTTAGGGAATTTTCAATTTCTAATTTGAAGGGTGCTTATAGACGGGTATTTCAGCGTCCTATTGATTTTGTGTGGTATGTCAGTTTATTTGAACCTTTTTTCTCTTGTAGTCATAATATTGTTTATTACATGGAGAAATACTGAAAGCTATATTTTCTGTGGAGCCAGGGAATTACTGGATTATACAGATGACAATATACCTTTGGTTGAGACCGATCTTGATATCATGCAAAAAGATTCTGGCCTCTCTAACAAAGAAGTGTTTGTAGATGGAATCTCTGTCAGCCAGACTAAAAACTTAGATTCAGAGGTTTCAATTGGTAAACATATGGTTGAGGATGGAAACGCGGATCCATCACCAACGATCGAGCTTGTTCACAACACCGACATTCAGTCACCCAAGCTTGCTCTGAAATTAGCATTTACTCTTCCAACGTCATGCTATGCCACGATGGCCGTAAGGGAGTTACTAAAATCTTCAACCTCAGTATGTGCTAAACCACTGATGATTCTGTTTAAATATTATAAATGTAACTTCTGATGCATATATGCCTAAAGTTTTGGTTGGAATGATTGGTTTGCCTACTTTCAACATTTTTTTTGGTCTCAAGCTTTCGCTCTAGTAAATGATCTCATAACAATTTGGTTTAATGGGTTAGTTTTGAGTTTTGTTGGGAGGATGGCAAGACATTTGAACTTAAACCAATCCAGAGAATGAAACGCACAGCTTTTTCCCAATATTAGAACACTTGCACTCTGAAATCTGAGAATTTATGCCTGAAGTTGTTCACTGAGTTGACATGCACCAGATTCTGATGAAATATTCATTTCATGATAATGTCTCATTACCTCATTGCAGGTTTCTTATCATAAATCACTGAACCATTGACTCTATTGGGTGTTAAAAGTTGTTTCTCTGGAAGAGTCACAATATTTGAAACGGACAGGGCAAGTTGCTGTGGAGGATGAAGCCACGTAAGTCTTTCTTGTTCGCTCACTCTCATTCTTTGTATGTGCCCTTGCAAGTGTCTGTGATGTGTTGGTTCTATAACAAGCTGGTTATTTATGAAAGCCAGTGGTACTGACTTTTCATGTTATATGTACTTCTTCCCACTAATAATCATACTGCAGCAGCAACTTCTTTTTTAGAATATGCTTGTCTGACATACTCAACTTTATTTGGCAGTGAACCATTTCAAATTCATTAGACACAGGTGTCATTGGCAGACTGTTTTTACCTGCTGTGTTCTTCTTGACTGACTACTGCTAGATTATCATCAGTGGCAACTTGATTCAATTTGTGGGCTGCAATTATGCACAAGGCTTCAACAATGTGGCAGAGATTTGGTGGAATTCTCTTTCATGGTTGTTATGGAAGATAGTTTTGGTTCACTGGGTTAAAATGATTTCCTGCAATATATTCCATTTTTATCTTATCTAGCAAAACCGATTTGGTTAAGGTGCAAAAAATGTCAGGTTATAAAGTAGTAGTCTTTTGATGTAGCAGACTGTCTATGGCCTGCCTTTATAAAATATGTATACTGTTGCCTGTTCTTGTGGTTGTGTTTTGATGCAGCAGACGATGGCCTGTCTCTATAAAATATGTGTAACTGTTGCCGTCTCTTGTTTCTTTGAATGGTCTTGAGTATGAAAAAAGAATGCATTTGTGGAACTTGATGGCTTTCTTTGTTAGTAAAAAGAAAAAAATATATATATTAGATTTATGGTAAAAATTTGGTTTTTCATTTTGCATGTTTAAACTTGAAACAATTAACAACTTGTGTAACCAATCTATATATATTTGCAATATTTCTTGAATTCATAATATCTTTTTTCTTTTTCTGGTGAAAGAGATCTAAACATTTTAGATGAACACCTGTGCTATATGCTATGTACAACTCCAAGATATCGTATTCTAAATATATTTTTGATGATATATATACTCCAAGAGTAATTTGTGATATATCAAATGTCAAGTGATTTAATCATCAATAACATTTTAAGAAGAAAAAAAAACTGTCCATTATGATCCAACGACATAATTTTCTCACATCAAGACACCGTTGATGAGGCTCCCTATCAACATTAAATACTATTGAACCGAAAGACTTGGTGCTTCGTGTCATGAAACAACTAAATCCTTCCCCTTTGTATGATGTGATCATTTCTCTTGCCAATGATGCAGATAACTGAGGGGATCCAAGTAACCTGGAGAAGCCGCAAGCTGCCAGAACAAAGATTTTGCTGCACACAAAGCATGTCTTTCAAATCCATTGTCAAGGAAGCTTTCCATCCATTGCTGCATGGATGTCTACAGGACTCGAGAAAGAGGAGCGACAAACTTACAAAGCTCCTAACATGATCGATCAATGAACAAAGAAGATGTCAACTCTGACACTGTCAGAGTCATGAACATGAAGCCACTTCCGGTCCTAGCTTGAATTACATGTACACTTAAATACAGTAACAATGCATGCATGCATAACATCATCTCAGGGGAAGCACTGGATCAAATCCCAGCATCAACAAATCACCAAGACAAACAAATCCCAGCTTCGATTCCATGCACACTCCGTAGATTGCTACTAATCCAGCTTCAGTTGTCCATGGAGTTGTGAGGAAGAAGAAGAAGTGAAAGAAGCAGCAGGAGAGCTCAGTCACCCTTTGCTTTGGGCCGCATGCATCCGCAGGCGCCCCTCTTCTTCTTCTTCTTGACGCTGTCTCTCTTCCCATAGATGTACTCCTTGAGGAGGACTCCGGACTTCTGCACACTTCTGGTCTTCTTGCTTCTGTGTTCTTCCTCTATCTTCTGCAACGTGGATTGTGCTTTCTGCAGATCCAACTCCAACCTTCCGATCTTTTCAGACAACTTCTCTGCCCGATCAGAGATTTGTCTTCTGCTTCTGTTCTCAGCATCCTTCTTCTCCCCGGTCTGGTCGGGTGGCTCGGAAAAGCTTGCAGCTTTCTCTGTCAATTTGCTGTTGATGGCACTCAGCTTCGAGGTGGCTGATTCAGCTTCTTGTAGCTGCAGTTTGATAGCATCAAGATCGGATCTTGTCGGGTGGTTGATCTTTTCGAGTTCTTCCATGTTCTTGTGCAGTTCCTGTGTGGTTGCTTGGAGAACCATGAGCCTTCGAGCATCAGAGCGAAGCATCTCCATGACCCTTCGGCTCCATTCCTGGGGGGACTCGGCTTTCTTGGCCACCTCGAGCTTGTCAACGCCCAACTCTTTCTCGGAGACCGGCTCGCTTGAGGGATGGTTTCCCTCCATTTCCTCGATCAGGTGGCGTGCTGCACTGAGCTCCTCGATTACCGGTGGCGATTTCTGCGTCTCGTTGCTGCAATTACCTTCAGATGTTGTTCCCCATAGTTCAAGGGGCTGGCCCGAGGCTTCACTGGCGTTTTCCCTCTTGTTTGCGCCATGAGAATGGATGTTGCTGCTCCCATGTCGTGAAGAATTGAGAACGATGTCAAGCTGTATGTCTCTCATGATCCTCTCATACTTCATCTTCCGCATGTCAGTGTCTAGTTTGTCTTTTGATTTCACTGCTTCGATCTCTCTGCATGCAGCCTCCAAGCCAGCATGTGTTCCCAGCCTCTCCAGATCCAAGAGGCTCCTGGTCTTCCTCACCAATTTCTGAAGTGCCTTGACCTTGGCCTGTAACTTCTGCAATTCCAAGATTCCCGGCGGCGATCTCGCAGTGCAAGTTTGACTTAGTTCTTGACTCCTCTGGTGAGCAGACCTTGTTTGCTTCTCCTGAATAAAGATACAATGATTTGTCTTAGATCATATGATTGCTTATTTCTATCTGCTAAATTCCATTATTAGATTGTTTGCTTTTAATATGAACATGGCATCTTGGCTCATTTGCTTGTTTGAATCTACAACAAAGTTTCATGTGAGATGACTTGAATTTAAGAAAAAGTATGTATATTTAAATTTTGGTTAAATGACAATTACTGAGTTTCAATCCAGTCCAAAGATCACATGACATTGTGGTTCTAATTCATTAGTAATTGGGATGCAATTGTGAAGAAAAGAACACCTGCTTTCCCTGATTGGTTGGTGATGGATGGTGCTTTCCCAAGTAGAGAGTCTGTTCTTCCAGGATAGCAATATCATCCCAAAAGTTGCCTAGAAGTGACAAATACGCATTCAGTTCTTCCTTCAATCTTCCGTTTTCTCCCTCCAGGGCATTTACTTTTTCCTTCAGTTCATCAACTCTTGCATCTCTGTGCATGAGTTCCTCATGTAGAACTTTCCTGTTCAACAAGGCACTTCTCTCGATGCTCTCACACGTTAGTATCAGTTCAATTACCTTCTCTCTAAACAGTGTTGCAGTAATCGTAGCACACTGAACGTCATTTAACAGTGATAAAATTTCTACCTCAGAGGACTTGGTCTCATCTGTTCTTTTTGGCAATTCAGTAGTCAGATTATCTTCTTTGATTCTGAGCTTGTCGGCGTGTTCATTCATTCTATCCATTTCCGATTTCATAATCTCATTTGCTTGATGAAGGCATGCAAGTTCATTTCTCTTACAGCCATAACCTTCTGAGCTGGAGATTTTCTTCTCCATTTCTTCTCTCACTATCTCAGCCTCATTGGTGTTGATTTTAAGATCTTTTAGGTTTCTATCTCGGTTGTTCTTCACTTGTGACGACTCCGCATCCTTCTCCAGTACAAGATTATTTCCTGTATGACTTTGTAGATTCAGTTGTTCGCAAACATTTATTACATTTCTAGCCATGTTCAGATCGTTGTCAAGTCTTAACAGATATCTTCTGCACTCTTCCAATTTGGTAAATGATACTTTCAGATGTTTGTTTTCAAGCTCAAGCACTTCAACTTTTTCACTAATTTGTGTAATTTCCTGGACAAGGTCATTTCTTGCCTTGCAAAGGTAGTCCCTTTCATCACTTAATATCTGTAGTTCCAATCCTCTCTCAGCACTGGAATTCCGGAGTGCCACCGAAAGGTAATCCAAGGCCATAATCTCTGCAAGCATGGCACTGTTTTCCTCCTCCAATTTTTCTTTTGTCTTTCTCAATTCATGAAGTTTCTTAGACAGAAATTGATTTCCTTCAAACATCTTAGAGGTTTCACTTTGTAGTTTGCAGTGAGCCTCTTGTAACTGTAATAACTGTCTAAAAAGAGTATCCACTTCAGCATTCAATAGTTCCTCTCTTTGGTTGCTGGCCTGTAACTTCTCCCTCAATTGCTTATTCACCTGAAGGATTTCATCATTCTTGTCTTTGAGTGCTGTAAATTCCTCGGTTCTTGTTTTAGATTTCCTGTCAAGAGCCATCATTTCTGCTCTCAGATCTGAAACATACAGTCCAAACTGCTCGAGTAGAGTGACAACAACTGATTTTTCAAGGATCAGAATTTGCTTTTCGTCATATGCCTCTGAAATAGATTTAAGTAGGTGTCTGACTTCACATAGAATAAGCTGCAAAAGAAAGTCATCTTTGACATCATCGAAAGAAACATACTTCAGATCAATCTCAAGAAGTTTTACTATTCGAAGAATCCACTCCCTTAGTTTCTCATTATGCTCCACTAAAGATTCCATCTTTTTCTTGTTCATGAGGCATTCTTGTTCAAGCTCGACTATTAGTTTCTCTGCAGATCTTAAATTTTCTTCATGTCTTTGAAATCCAACAGAATGGCTCAAACTCTGCTCCTCCATATCACATAGACATCTCTGCAAGATGAAAATTTCAATCTGAGCATTCATAATTCTGTGCTGTTCCACTTCAAGCTCCTCCTCCCTTTGCCGACCTTGTTTCTCCAGGTGATAAATCTGATCTTCCAATGCGCTAAGCTGATTTTTGCTCGAATCAATAAGAGCTGTATGCTTGTCCTTTTCTTGCCTCAGTAACTGTTGTAGCTCAGCAACATGATGAAGTATCGAAGCTTTCTCCCATTCTAGATTCGAGCATTTGTCTTCTAATTCAGTGTAGCTATTCTCCAAGTTCCTTAAACTCCAGCTGATGCTTTCCACCTGAGCCAATGGTCATTTGCAATACAATAAGAAACAAGTAGAAGTGTCAAATACCTCTTCAAAAAATTCTAGACTGCATAGGTATATTAAAACAAAATGAATTTGCAGAAGTGCTAAATTCCTAGTCAGGACTGAGTGGTGAGTGGTGAATGGTGCATGGACCTGTGAAACAAGAGTGCCCTTTTCAGAAAGAAGGGTAGATTTTTGATCATGAAGAGATCGGCAGGATTCATCCAAGCTTTTCAACTTTTCTTTTAGACTATCAAGTTCAGCATTCACATCAGAGAGGGAATTCTGCAAGAATGTATTTTTGTTCAAAAGTTTCTCGATATTTTGAGCAGCAGTATCCATATGGGAGATGAGTACAGCTTTTTCAGTTTGATTAAGAGAAACCATCCTTTGGAGATTTTTGCAGGAGTCTTCTGATGCCTTTAGTTTCTCTTGTAACCTCTTTAACTCATCATTTGCATCTGAAAGTGAAGTTTCCAGTATTGCATTCCTCTCTGACATTGTTTGAATATGTTTCATGTTCTGCACATAAAGAATTTTCTCATGCTCATGTTTCTTGATGATCTCTTTTAGGTCATTGTTGCTATTTTTCAGCTCCTTCATCAGTGCTTGAAGGGTCTCCATCTCCATTGTCACAGCATATGTTTGGTTGTTGAGCACATGATGTCTCTCTTCTAGATTATTTTTGTCTTCTTTAAGTTGACAGAGCTCTAGATGAAGAATGTCCTTTTCCTCTCTGCAGAGTTTCAGCTCATCTTCAAGTTTTCCTTTTAAATTCTTCAGGAAAATTATCTCATCCTGCAGACTGATAATCTTTAGAGTAGACGGAAGTTTTTGTTCATGCAGTCTGTTATTTTTCTTCTTAATCTTCTGCAGTTCTTCCTCTAAGTTCCATTTAGTCAGTTCCATCTCTTTCAGCTTCTCATGGAGACCTCTCACCTCTTCCTGTGATTCAGTATACTGCTTCTCCATGTGTTCCGTGTTCTGCAAATAAAGAACTTCTTCCAACTCATGTTTCTTGATGGTCTCTTTGAGGTCGCTGTTTTCATTCATCAACTCCTTTATCATTGCCTGAAGGGATTCCATTTCCAGAGACATTGCTTGTATTTGTTCTTTCAGCACTTGATGTCTTTTTTGTATATTGTTTCTGTCTTCTTTAAGCTGACATAGCTCTAGATGAATAACTTCCTTTTGCTCTCCACAGTGATTCACTTCATCTTCAAGTTTTCCTTTTAGATCCCTCAAGAGAATGATCTCATCTTGCAGATCGATTATCTTCAGCGTAGATGAAAGCTTTTGTTCATTCAGTCTGTTATTTTCCTCCCTAATCTTCAGCACTTCATCTTCTAAGCTCAATTTGGTCAGCTTCATTTCTTTCAACTTCTCAAGTGCAACTCTCATCTCTTCCAGGGATTCAGTGTATTGCTTCTCAAGAGACCAGAAATCGATTTCGTTCTTCATGCTTTTTACATGTTCATCATGCAAGGATATTTCTAGTTTTGCCAACTCTTCTCCCTTAATGCTAATCTCTTCCTGTTGCTCTCTTGTTTTCTGCTTCAGCATGTCAAGTTCCAATTCCAAAGATTGATTTGCCTTCTCCAAAACAATTCTTTGCTCCTCAGCACTAGTTAATCTCTCAGTTTGGATTAGCATCTCATCATTAAGCTTCTTAAGGTCTTCTTGGATGCAAGATATTTCTGTTTCCAGATAAGATGCTCTTGCCACAGATTCATGGTATCGACAAAGAGCATCTTCGTTTTCTTTGGAAAAGGCCTCTTTTAGTTGTTGAACTTCTGTTTCAGCTCCATTGGCACGCACTGACTCCAACTTGATCTGATTCTTGAAATCCAAGTTTTCCTGCGACAACCTGGAATTCTCTTCCCGAAGTAACTTCAACTCTGAATCCTTTCCATCATCCTCTTGAGAGTTGAAGCCCTTTGTCATGATCACTTCAGCAAATGCTGCATCAATCACTTCAGGAAAAGCCCCACTCATCTTCATGGCATCATAGAATGATGGCACACCTGAAACATCGAGCCTTGAACCATTAGCATCAATTAGTTCCATGAGCATTTCAGAACTAACTGGCTCCACTTCTGCAGCAGGAAATCCAGAAGGGGATTCATCAGATATCTCAAGCGGAATTTGGTTGGGGAAGACGACAGCCATAGTCTGGTGAGCCTGACGAAGCACCCCAGTGGCATGGTCATATCTTTCTGCCAAAGCACGGTAAGCTCGGTAGAATTCCTCTACCAGTTTCATGAGCTCGGGGCGCTTCTTGTAGTACATTTCTGCTCTTTTTGCAAAGGAATCAGCATCTTCTTCAATAATTCTGATCATGGCTTTGACCTTGCCATCCATGTCTGTGCAGGTAACCATATATGATTAGATACAGCGAAATGAAACAACATTCATTACAAGTGACCAGAGGAAGTATGAGAATAGCTACAAGAGCAATTTGAATTGCCCAAGAACCAATTGCACCAGCAAGTTCTTATTTTCTTTCCAATTCTACCAAGGTGACAGCTTTCTTACATCCAAAGAACATGAGTCTTTAGCTATTGTAAGATGTCTAAATTTCTTTTTGTGATCTACTTGGCATATCCAAATGTGAAGCATGAAACTAGCTATAGTGTAGAAACTAAAATTAGAAATATCTAGTAAGTTTGAACTAATTACAAATCTCTGGTCAAAATAATGCAAATCTTCGTAGCCTAAAAAATTGAAATATTGCGTGAAGAGTAAAATTTTAGCAATGCAGGTGATCCGTAGACTTTTTGAAAATTTGTACAGGAAAATAGGATTCTCTTTAGTTGTATTTCTGTATTTGCTGCTGGATTTGGTTGTGTTTGAGGATAATCATCTTGCACGGCATAACTGAAAACTAAACAAGGATAATAACACAAGCTTATTAACGTAGAGGTAAAATTCATATGAATTAACAAGATCCAGAATTATAAATCATCAGATGTTTTATGCACCCTTCTTTCAAGTGACTAAAGTGATTAAGCCTGTTGAACTCCTTACTAATGTAAGTAAATAGTATATTTTGGTACTTCAGTTCAAAGATTTCAATGTAAACTTCATTTGGGACATCTAATGCATGGGATTCTCTATCCATCAAAGAAGAAGAAAGAAAATTTCTGTTTACCTGCAAGGTTTTCTTGAAGCCACTTAGAATTCTTTGGGCTGATATGACTATTCCACCACCATGAGTACAGGCGCCTGGATTCAGAATGTGACAGTGTTGCCATGATCACAGGCAAACTGATGGTATCTGCTTCTACCTAAAACCTCTTCAGCATCATGGAATCCCGGGTAGAAGATCCAAGCCAAAAAGAAGAACAATTCCAGATCATGAGCTGAATTGGTTCATCTCCTCTTTAAGAACAGATGACAGCAATAACATTAAAGTCAAAGTTCAGTAACTTGAAGACATGAACAAGATTGAAGAGGAGCATGAAATGAGGTGTCTACCGATGTGGTGAGGCAGCAAGCAGACTTGGAAAGCAATCCAAGTTCTTTGGCACACAGCAACTTGTACCAGCATACCAGCAAGATCACAGCTGAATTCCAAGAAGAAATGTTTCAGAAAACATATAAGATATATCCGAGCTTTGCTGGAGATCTAAAATGCAGATCAGAAATGATAATTAGGCAGAAAGCAGAAGGAATCAGAAAGAAGAGCAGAAGTGAGAATAAGAACTCAGCAAGAAATTGGGGAAAATTCTACTGTTTGTGCTGAGGCAAAAGAGATCAATCAAAGGAAACAGCACTAGTTACTGGAAATGAAAGTTGCATACCATAAGGAGAACAAAAGACTTTCTTTTGATTTAACGAGCAGCCGTGCTGAAAGATTCAGCTGCTTTTCCACCACTGTCATCCCATTTCTCTGCTGCAAAAGAGAGCTTTGTGCTTGTGTGAGAGACAGATAGAAAGAACTAAATTCCTACACGCCGGTAAGATCCAGAAGAAGGAGAAGAGAAACAAAGTAAAAGACAACAGAGAAAGAAAGAGAGAAGAAGCAAGGAGATGATGCAACTCTGTATGGCAAACTTTGGTAGATTTGTGGGAGTTGGAATTGCCACTACACCTTTGAGAATGCAATCAATTAACTACTAACCACCTTCTTTACACTTGCACTTGTATACTGAATGCCCATACCACAAGATCCATGCATTAAAATACTGGGAAGGATCATATCAAGTAAAGAAAAAGAAATAGCATCAGGGAGGAAGAGTCACTCCATGCTGTAGTGACCCTGCTGTCACCTGTCCTTTGCTTCCACTCAAGAAATGTTGCATGTTTGTTGCCATTGACTGCTGGTGATGTTTTAATATGCGAAAGTTCTTCGAGGGTTCTTCTTCCTTCTCCCACACTATCACATTTCCTATGAATTGCTTTTTGTTTAACAATGGCATGGACAGTACTGAGCTGTGGACTGATTCTTTGATTACATACTATAGTAATTGAACATCCTTACCTCAATCATTGTGGACACTTGGGATGAGACATTAATTAATTACATTGGTCCACAAGCATGGTTTCACCTACTTACAATGTGATGACTACCTATCTAACATTCCACTCCAACCTCCAACCACTAAATTGTGTCTAATTTTTCACTTTTATAAAGTGACATCTGATTTATCTACAATTATATATATATATATAGGACATTAGATAGGACATTGTTATTAGCTCAACTAAAGTTCCACTTGTGATATTGTTGAAAGTTTTGATTTATTAACTTATTCGGTCGGGATTATTGAAACGAAATGTTCTAAGCCTAAGTTAATAATAATATATTCATCAAATTCTTATAAGATGTCAGTTTAGATTAAGTCATGAATAAATACATATTATTTGACAAGCATCTTCTGCATCATAAGGTTATAATGATTCTTCTTTATCTGCCATTACTGGCAAATTAGAAACACTTTGAAGGTGTATAGTCTAGATGGGAGTTGGTCATGCTGATCTAATAGCATTGATGTCTTCTACTTTTGAAATTTGTACTGCAGGACATCTAAAAGGATTGATTTGTGATGTGACTTCAGTGCTCTATTAATTAGTTTGCCTGATACTGCACCTACTTTGTCAGTGAGAACAAGAGCCTTGATTCTGCATTCTTCCTCAATTGGGATTTTGGAGTTGAACCCTAGCACACAGTACTTGGTTTTCTTTAGTGTCACAGTTCTTTTGAGCCACAACATTATATTTTTCTAAGACACCAAAGGAAAGAATTGGTGGATACCTTTAGGTATCTCCCACTTTAGGTATAATTTTCTTTTGTGTCGCTAATTTAATCAAAGACACCAAAGAAAAGAATTGGTGGATTCCTTTAGATATCTCCCACTTGAAGTTCATAGTGCATCTTCCTTTTGGCAATGATAATAATCTCATCTGGGTCCAAAGAAACATTATATTTTTCTAGGAAAAAGGATCTAAAGAAACCTTCAAGCATGCAGGTTGTAAAGTACTAGCATCACCTTCATCCCCAAGGACCACCAATTGGCTCATGCTTTCATTCAATAACTTGGATTTATACCTTTTCTTTTCTTTCTTTTAATTCTATAACACCACCAGTCCTTTTATCCTACCTTTACAGCATCATACAACATCCCAAATCTCAATTTATCTTGGAATCTATAAGGGGAAGAGAGCTTGACATTAAAAGAAAAACTCAAAAAAGCTTTACAGGTTTGAAGAAAAATTAAATTTCTTAATATATTAAATCAAACTATAATTTTAATTGAGTTACTCCAACTTAAGTATATATCTTCTTTTACAATCTTTCATGTTAATCTTTTCAAGATACTAAGAGGATTCTAAAAATACTTATCAAGAGTCAAATCCACTTCTTTTTACCTCATGCAAGAAAAAACATTTTGATTAATTAAATTATTATTTTATGTGAAATTCTTGTATGACTCATATTTCATTTCCTCAAGATTATTTTTTCTGGTTTATTCGAGACATTATCTAAAATGCTTGGTAGAAGACAACAGTGCCACTTAAATCAGAAGACCCATGTATTAAATGGTGCTTTTCTTTTGTCACATCAACAAAAAAAGAAGTGTTTTTCTCACACCTTTTTAGTTCACATATCACATCTCATGGATTCTGCCTACTTTATGATGGTGTAAGCTAGTATTGATGAGAGAGATCATCCAATTAATAAGATGTGGACTCTTATGATCATGCTAATGTCATAGTCTAGATGTGATTAATTTCATCAATGTTGACCATCCAAGCCACTAATATATATGTGCAGCAACATTGTTTGGTTCACCAGTCATTTTCCTTTGTATTTGATGCTTGGCTTCAAAGATATGTGATATAGGACATGCCTCCTGAATGACAATGTGAGCTGCTCAAGTTATCACATACTAGATTTATATTTTAAAAAATATTATTTCAATATTTATAATTTATAATTTATTATTTTTAAATAAATCACCTTTTTAAATAATAATTTTTTTTTTACTAAAAAAATAATTTCTTTTTTGTAGAGTCACAAGTGAAAAAAAAAATCTCTTCCGCCTAAGCTCAAATCTACTATAAAGTATTATGTTATTCTAAAATAAATACAAGATAAAAACACATCAGTAACCATATATACTGATAGTGATTTTTGAAAATTATAAAAATAATTTTATTATTTATGAAACATATAAAACAATTAGTAATTTAATGTAAAATGATAACATATCAATTCATTATGAAACTCATATATCAGAAAAATAATGATAATTTTTATGTAGTAAATAAAATCATACATCAATCATATGCAACATATCTCGATGATGTACATAACACTCAAATAACAAAAATGTATATCGCACCAACTGACACACTCTCCTAGCAATAGATAGAGAGATATACTTTATGGGATGGATTCCTCCCAATAGCAAATGGAGAAAACTTATATCACACTCCCAACAACGAATGGAGTTGTATCCTCAACGCTCAAGTGAGGATACATTTCTCCTAACAACAAATGAAGGATCCATCTAATCATCACATTTGATAGTGCGCTAATCCCAAAAGAGAATTGTCCTCCTTACCCTTGGTAAGGATACATAAATAACTATGATGATTCATTTATATTCATTCATTTACGCATACATCCAAGAAATAGTGTGATAAAATAACGTATGATCTATATCCATTTGTGGTTCCATATTGTGATTGACTTATAGCTTTTTTCATATGTTAAATTTTTTTGTGAACCACTAGTATAGTCACATATATTACATAGTAACATTCACATCACTGTCATAAATCTAAAAGAAATAATTAAAAATTAATAATTATTTTCAAATAATTCTTTTAGATAACACTTTAAAGTTTATCGAATCGTAAAAACATAAGATATCAATCTCTTAATAATTTTCAATCAACCAGAATCCTAATTGGAATAGCCTAATTAACTAAATTCAATTAGGACATAATAAAATTAATTAATAATTTAATTGATTAAAAAAATTCATGACTTGTCCATGTAATTAAGAAAATTAATTTTAATCATTTCCTTAATCATACTGTGCAAACTAATATTTTTTAAAAAATATATTATTTATGATAATTAATTTATATTAAGGGAGAAAATTATCAGTGATTACAAAGGTTGCCTTCAATCTCATACAAAATTTTTCTCTTGCATTGTTAATCTTAGTCTTAATCTTGCATTGTGACTTGCATTCTCTAACTACACTTCTATCATGAGGAATGGTATGAATTGATCACTGTATGCAAATATATGTATCAAGTCTGATTAGTTAAAAGCCTCTTTAGCTGAAGGAAAATAAGATTTTACCGATGTAAAATGTACGTATAGCACTTCTTATCTACGTTCACGAAGCTTTAGCATATCAGATAAGATTACAAGTACCCTTGAAGTTAACCCTAACTTGAGCATAGATCCCTTTTATAACATCTCAAATAAACCCTCAAAGAATTTTTTCTTTCACCTCACATCCTCCTTTCGTCAACATCCAGAGATATCTAGAGTATTTATAAAATAATCAAACCTTAATTTTTATTATTTTTTTCACAATGAAATCTTTCCATATTTGGAATCTGTCTTTAAACAATTAGGCATATTATTTATTTTCACATTTTTACATCTCATATATATATAATTATAATATTTGAGCATATCTTCAATTTCCTAAAAAGAAACACATCTATAATTTTAAGAAATTTAATGGAAGGAGCAAGTAATAGTAATGCTGCCAAATGAGCCTTGAATATTCTATTTTACAAAATCAAGCCTACACTTGCAATGGAGATGGGAAGTCCTATATGCAACTTGAGTTTTTGTTGTCTTCCTACTGCATGAGTTGTAAGTGGCCTACAACTCATGAAAGGTTACACTGACATAGAGCAGATCCTTGAGGAGCACCTGTCTCTATCTTTGTCACCTCACTCCATCTTACCTTATCCCAACCAGCAGTACACTGGCCACTGTCTTTTCTTCCTGCACTATACAGCAATAGGAAGACAATATCTTGTTGCATTGTGCCTTGTGACATCTAGTGATTATACAACAGATTCTTCTCACAAGCTATTAGTGAGACAATAATCTCATAATGAGACTTGGGAAAAGCTTTTCTTCTTTTCCTTGTCTTGTTATCTCACTTCCTTCTTCTTTTTTTCCATTTGCTGTCTTTTGGTAGGAATCAGAATCGGGATGGGTGAGTAGTCCAAGCACTTGATACTCCACTCCAAAGGGTTTTTGGAGCCATTGCTGGAGAAGGGACATGATGAGAGGGATCAGGGAAACATGATGGTGTGCTTTTCATCAGTCTTTTCATTGAGCCAAATATAGAAAGACATGGATCCTAAGATTCAGCAAACATGTGGTAAAGTTCATTTTGTCTTGATGATTTAATCTTAATCTTAGATTGTGTCATGAAGATTACTTAGGTCAATTCATTCATGATTGCTGTAATTTCTACAGAAGCCTGATGTGGATTCACACACATATTTACTGACAGAAAGTTGCTTTTTTTTTTTGGTTAAAAATGATATCTGCTAGAATTTTTTCTAACCCTCAACCATAAAAAAAATTATTTACATGCTCATTAATCTTCCACACATTTAAGTTGGAAAGTGTCATGTTAAGTCAAGAATTAGTAACATTTCTTAATCAGAAGTTTATGGAATCAGTAGTGAATATATGATAAAATTTAGAAATCATTGAATATGAATTTTTTTTGTGTATTATGATCTATGTTACATGCTTTTCAATTTTAAAGTGTCATTTTAGTACCAAGAATATATGTGAAGAAATTTTATTTCAAAAGCATATGAAACTGAGTAGTAGAATTCTGCTGCAGATTTATAAATCATTGAGGTTGAATA